TTTAAGTTAATTCTTTTAAGAAAAGCACGTTAAGGGAGAAGCCTACTCATAAATTAAAACCCCAGCATTTATTCATTTTGCGATAAGTTGTATACCAAGGCAATATAAGGATATTGATCTAATAAAAGTTGGGGATAACCAGCCTTTTGTTTCGAGAAATTTATGGTTGTATTTTAGTGGAAAGTTGCCATTTTGACACTATTATAATACTTTTACCACAGGTTCCTATAGCAGAGATATTATGGAATATCTAAAAATCTAACATGGTAACATAGGCTGAAAAAATCATATATTGTTAATGATGGATCGGTACTTTTTGTTGTTCTGAATTATTTAAAAAATCTGGGTTTTAAAAAGTGTCAAAAAATGCAATTTTTCTTTAACATTGTGTTCTATAGAATTGTTCTAAAAATAGCTATTTTCAAGAAATAGTAGGACACGTTCTCAAAAAGCATAACTGTAACACAAAATAATGCTATTTAATTGTACCATGGGACATTAGCTTCATGATTGTATATAATAAACTAATGAACAATGTCATGATAAATGTTATCAAAAAATATGACTAGGCTTCTTAGGGTTACCATTTCAGTCAAAATAGACAAAAAGGGTGTATTTTTCGGTACTGCCAACGTGATAAGGGTGGTTATTTTTTTTAATGAGATTATCGTTTTTTTTTATTGCTTTAAGGAATTCGGTGATCGCAAAAACGAGGAAAACGTCCGGCCCCCTGGTTAACAACCCTCGATCACGGCATATGAGCAACCCGTGCTTACACTGAAGGGCTAGAAAGCTCAAATATCGCGGGATCAGGCGCGAGTTCAAAGTGCGTGATCTTTTAGCTTTCTAACAGTGAAAAGAGTACGAAATTTTGACCTTTTAGGGTGTTTAGGGTCATTTTGAAAACCCCTTTCACAGACATGGGTTTCCCCCTAGGATTAGCTTTAATTCCGAAAATACTGTAAGGGACAGAACATGAAATATGTGACACATATCAAACATCGAGTCAGTAGTGACAGATTTCAAGTGTACCTAGTCTGGAAGAATATAGTAGCGCATATCCTGGCACTAAGTCGTCGGCTTCAAACAACATTGACGAGATGGAATTTTTGTATGTGAAAAAGCTTTCAAAATTTCAAAATCAATTATCATAGAGGTAAAACGTGTTTACCACATATTCTTTTAAGTAAAACGGCGTGTTTACCACACACTCTATTAAGTAAAACGGTGTGTTTACCACACACTCTTTTAAGTAAAACGGTGTGTTTACCACACACTCTTTTAAGTAAAACGGCGTGTTTATCACACACTCTTTTAAGTAAAACGGCGTGTTTACCACACACTCTTTTAAGTAAAACGGTGTGTTTACCACACACTCTTTTAAGTAAAACGGTGTGTTTACCACACACTCTTTTAAGTAAAACGGCGTGTTTACCACACACTCTTTTAAGTAAAACGGCGTGTTTACCACACACTCTTTATGTAAAACGTCGTGTTTACCACACACTCTTTATGTAAAACGTCGTGTTTACCACGCACTCTTTATGTAAAACGTCGTGTTTACTACACACTCTTTATGTAAAACGTCGTGTTTACCACACACTCTTTATGTAAAACGTTGTGTTTACCACACACTCTATGTAAAACAGTGCATTTACCACATGCACTTATGTAAAACAGTGTGTTTACCACATGTATACTCTTATGTAAAAATGTTTTACCACATACTCTTATGTAAAACGGTGCATTTGCCACATGCATTTATGTGAAGCAGTGTTTACCACATGTATGCTCTTATGTAAAAATGTGTTTGCCACATACTTTTATCTAAAACAGAGCATTTACCACATGCACTTATGTAAAACAGTGTGTTTACCCCAGTGTTCTTATTTAAAACGGGGCGTTTACCATATGCTCTCTTGTAAAACAATGTGTTTATCACATGGTATTTTATAAAATACAGTGTGTTTACCTCCATGCTTCATCAAAATTCACTGATGAATGTTGTCGATTATCATGGTATCGGTGTACTGTATTGTGCACCAATGTAGGTAATCATCACGTGGCACAGGATTATAAAACATCTCTTCAATCATATCAAGTTTTGCCCTTTGAACTTTATATTTGGTTTCATTTCTGACACGATTACATAATGCAATACGTCTCCGAACGTACTTCAGCGCCAGACCGTATAATGCGTTTCCATGGTAATGATATTACAGGACTTCGGAGACACACAGTATATTGTATTAGTATTAACGATTGCGACCCCGGAGGCGTAACTATACTGTCTGTACTAGAGGAAGTCATATAAATCTCCATATCCACAACGCTGTTTATTAAGAAAGAACCTCGAGTGAAACAAAATTGAGAGCTTTTTTCCGGAGACTAAGAGAATAGGATGCCAAAACAGAAGAAAACTCCTCCAAAATTCGACCAGAGGCTGTATGGGGAAGGAGTGAGTATACTTTTTTTTATTAG